TTGTGCGCTTAGATCTTTTAAACTATGCAATGGATTTTGACGCAGTTTTCATCAATAGATTCGGTCTTCATCAATAGACAGAATGATTCAAGAGGTAGGTTTATACACATGTGTAATACATGCATAATTTACTTTGTATAATTCTTCTATCAGTGTGATGTGACTGAACTCTTCCTAAATTACTGACCGATTTTAGTGAAATTTTGTGTGTGTGATTAAGTTGATTAGAGAACGGTTTAGATTATATTCACAATTGGATCCAGTAGCTGACATTGTTGTTGAGTTTTGGTCTTTTGAAAGTTGACAAAGATTTATCCCTAATATAATAATCTTAAACAGAGAGTAAAAAACTATACATATACCAAATTCAATGGAACTTGGTGTTTACAGCATACAAAATAGATAGTGTTGAAATTTATCTTTACTGTGAAATATATTTTGAATTCATATGGCAAAACAGAAAAAATTATAGAATATTATACCTATACACATATGCATACATAAGAAATATGCTTCAGTAATGATATGTTGCATGGTCATGTTTTTTGGACCCCACAGTTTGATGTGACATAATCTTTAATGCAATAATAACATTTAATAACTTGAGTGTGTGTTTTACAAAAACCGACTGACGAGTTCCAACATTCTCCCAACAAATAGACTCCCTGTGTCACAAATCATAACTAAAATCTGCCCTTTCCAAATCTCTTATTTCAACAATATCCGTCTTGAGCCGCAATTTAAGTATCTCTCGCCATATAGCTTCCCTATGGTCTTTATTTGTGATTCCCATTCGTAGGAGTGTATTATCATTTATCCGCACCAATGCCCTTCCAGTTATATCATGCTGAAACAGAAAAGAAAAAAAAAATATATATATATATATATATAATATATTGAGTCTTACAGATCCAACTTAGTCAGTCTCAACAGAGACTAGCCATCTGCATGGGACAGGATTATAGTGCATGGATCATCGCGGACGTACACACAGACACCAGCGCGCTGTTTGAACTTACGTTCCAGCGTGCAGTCTGGGTAGTTGAGGTACGCCATATCAGACGAAGTTGCTATCTGCGTTTCCGTTATAAACAATAGGCTTCTCGGTCTCGATGTGGTGGTGTACCGAATCAACCCTCTAATGTTTGTAAGGTGCACTTTAAGTGGTAACAAGTGCCGCTGGTGTTTTACCATATTCATCTTAACTTTTTTCATGTAAGTTGGGTGTTTTTGGTGGGGAATCAGTTGAGAAATCGAGGCACCGCTCAATATACCAGTTGAGGACTCAAGAGCTTGGCTAACTGATGAGGAACTCATTTGGAGACTGCGGGCATGCTCAAGCCCCCCCCCCCCACACCCTAAATGGCCACAGCGACCTACCATACAATTGCCAACTGGCACGGTAGAGCATTTCGGTATTTTTCGCAAGTTGGCGGGATAGTCTTTGGTACTTGGCTGGCTACTTGGGCCCCCAACTACCTGCGGTCGGCCAACAGTAAGACCATGCCTCGGATCACGCTAGCCTCCAGAATTAGTTAACCGATATGGTTTTGCTCAGATGTCCAGACTAGTCTTGAGTGGCGCAACTGATGGCCTTTTTGTTCCCCCTGAAGGCACTGGTTCTCCCGCTCACAGACGGAAGGCAATGAGCTGCTTCGCACCTGACTCCAACGGGAGGGTGGTACCAAGCCAGGCGGCCCCTTGCGAGACCTACCACCGCATGAAGGGACCCAGCCAACCCAAAAGGTTTTATATTATTAATTTATAACTTAAGCAAATTTGGACTATACAAGGATCAATAAAATGTAACTTTTAATAAAACGTTAAAAATGACTTCTGAAATTAAAAAAAAAAAGTTAAACAATTTTCACAAAATAGCTTCTGAAGTCGGGGCTAAAATAAAGATTATCGAAGTTTATTTACATCCCTCACTAGGTGGAAATTATTTTTTACTTTCTGAAGTCATTTTTTTACTTTCTATTGAATTTTTAATGTTTATACACTTTTCAACTTCATGGTAACAAATACTTATAGTTACATTAAAAAATCCATCCCTTATTTTCCCACACTTATGAGTACAATATTTTCTTTTAATTTATATAGGACTATCCCTGACCCCTACAAACCATTTAATGAAAGAAGAATAATTTAAATCAGCTCGCTATTACCGTGAAATCGGTGAACATACAAAACATATGTGTCGAATATAGAACCTTCTCGTTTTTTAAACTCTGTTATACGTGGTAGAGCCATACTGCAGCTATATTAAGAGTATAATTATAGCAGGAAAGAGTTGGCTCGACAGGGGAAGGACCACGCTCTCACAGAACACCAGCGTAAAATAGCAGCTTAATGCTGTTGTGTTTCGTATGGTGAGTGTAGAGACTCGGAGACCCTTTTTACTGGAAAAGAGGCATCCTATCTTAGTCCTCACAGCTAACAACGCATCTGCATTTTTATCCGCAAACGAAGATAGATCTAGATGACTATGGGCCACAGTAACCACTTGCCATCAGGTGGACTGTGTGCTCGTTTGTCATCCTTATTCTATATAAAAAAATAGGTTAGCTCAGGTTTTAAAATTTATAAAACCTAAAATTTTTCAAACTGTTGGCCAACGTTTATTGTCTACTACTACGATACTAACATCGTATTTTACGTACCTGGCACCAGATAAAAATAAATAAGTCATACCGCACTGCATTGTAACACAGTTGTGCGTACAAAGGATGAATTGTGGGCAGTATTTTATACTGAAACTCTACGTTAGTGTAACTGTTGCACCATTCAGCGATTTTATTAATACTTATACTTATACTTATCTTCACGCACAATCCCTGACGGGGTAGCCAGAGAGAACAGATCGCCAAGTGTCACGATCCTTACAAACCTCTTTCGCTTCTTTCAGATTCATTATCTTTTTCATGCATGCACGTCTAGGTATCCGAGTACTTTTGACCCTACCCTCTTCGAGCAATTTGCTCACATGGTCTTCGAAAGTTAGTCTCGGTCTACCTCGACACCTTTTAATATTAACTTTCGCGCTATATATTTTCTTCACTATTCGGTCTTCACTCATTCGCTCAACGTGCCCAAACCACCGAAGCACGCCCTTATCAATTTGGTACCTTGTCATAATTTATTATAATTATTTATTAAATAGTTTATTCATTATATAATTTAGTAATCAAAATATTAAGAAGTTATTGTAAGACTCTTTAGATCTAAACTTCGAAATTACAGTCTTATAACACACTTGTTTTTGTGTATTCATCAAAATATAACATTCACGGTCATCGGTTGAAGTATGTACCTAATTATAACTTGTTCAATTAAAGAGGCACGTTAATTAATTTTACATCATTATTCCCTCATTAGGTACCTATTTGCGTTCACTGACTTGTTAACAGTGAACCTTAATTTTATTCTGAGTCACGGGTCACGGCGACATTATTGCGTAAATGCTTTTTTTATAGAATGTGGGTGACAAGCGAGCACATAGTCCACCTGGTGGTAAATGGATGCTGTGGCCCATAGACATCGATTAAGAATCAAAATGCAGATGCGTTGTCACCCTTGAGGCCTCACATGGAATACCTCATTTCCAGTAATAAGGATCTCTGATTCTTTACTCTGCCATGCACACAGCATTTAGTTGTGGGCATGGTCAGTGTAGTCTGTGAGCGTGGTCCTTCACCGGCCTAGCCGACTCATTCGTGCTGCAACCATAATACAGCTGCAGCGTGGCTTTTCCACGTATAATGTGGCGTCCTTTGTCACTTGTAAATTGGTTAGAAGTCTTTTTTTGTCTACATAGTCTTGTAAGGCCTGTTACCCTATTGTGTCGGCTGTTAATGATTTATGATATTATATAATTTAAACTATTACAAAATTAACACACATTTTATTAGTCACGTGATACGTAACGAACTATCGATATGTAGATGCATTTATGTATGTGAGCAGTTATTAATTAGCATAATTTGTAACTATGTGTGTGTTAATTTATTTTACCTTGTATTTAGGCACCTACATAAATTGTCTTTAACGTCATGCCATTTGTCCTTGACGCTTCAAGCGTTTCAAAATACATTTTACCTAGTAGGGTGTTACAGAGTAGTGGCGTTGTAAGCATACATATCTACTTTCTCATATCGTCCTGTAGATGTCGTAAAAGGCGACAGAGGGAAACAAACCAGGAGTTGAGGCCCGGCAACACGCTCAATCTTATTTGCACAAGCAAGCATGTACGTTAAGCCGGCAACACGGTATACCGTGCAAATAGTTTGCATAAATGCTAATTTGCTCAAACTAAAGTTACGTAACGTACATACACAAGCATGTACAAACGTACATGCTTGTGTATGTACGTTAAGACGACGTGTGGACGCCACATATTGTCCTTTGCGAAAACTTTGTACCAAAGATGTTTTATCTTTGTACAAACTGTTTGCGCATGCAAGACGCCATCCTGTGGACGTTGTGCAGTGCACCATGTTGTTTGCGCATGCAATTCGTTACGTGTAGTCGGAGCTTTAGGCGGCAGCGTCTTCCTAATAACAAGAACTAAAAAAAAAAAACTGCGGTTGCCAACCTGCCTGCCTGGCAACGATGGCAAATAGCCTCATTATGTGCCGATCTATGGGAGAGGTCTATGTTGGGCAGTGGACAATTAATAAGCTGTAACGATACGAAATAAATTAGTAGTAAGTTAAAATGTAAATAAAAACCATTTTTAATATTTGTATATATAAAAGTATTTAATAACAATATTATTTCATATAAAACCATCTGGAATGATTAAATAAAACATAACAGCACATAGACATTGCTCTTAACATTAAAGTTCTAGAATATGACGTGTTTTCATTGTAAAATATACTTTATATTGCGTGTGAAAACGTACAAAATTAAAAAAAAAACCTCTAACAATTTACAACGCATTCCCATAACCCAAAGTACAAGTTTCTACCGGTTTGTAACCGGTTTTGGCAGATTTTTTACAGCTTCGAACGGATGGCGTCAATTCTGCCGGCCGCCGATCGCTGCAAGTCGGTTAACTTCATCGCGAGGCCCATGTTACCCTGAATCTTAATCTTGCCTTGGAAAAACGCTTTTTGAGGGTTTAGTTTGCCCGATATCAGTTCGGCGACGTCTTCATCGTTAATTGTGAACGTCACATCCGGTTTCTCCTTGCCGTTGTACGTGATCTTTCCTTTGCCCTCCTTCGCATTTACGACCCAGTATCCTTCGACGCCGTTGGGACCATTCCTAACTTTAAATCCGTAGATGCCTCTGACTTTTTCAATAAGGTTTTCCTCGTCGGTCTGCATCGCCTCTTCCAGAATCTTCATGTATTTGTATACCTTGAAGCCTTCGGGGTTGTCCGCGATAGCAGCAACTTGGTTGGGAGAGGCATTCTCGAAGCCCTTGCGGTACATCGTCACAACTACGGCACCACCGAGTCCCAAATTGTGTTGTAAGGCAATACGAGCACGCGGCACCTGCGAAACAAACTAGTTATTAACTAGTTATTAAAATAGAAAAACTTGAAAACATCACATTTGCCTTAGCACTAAAATCGACGTAAAAAGTAAAAAGAAACATAATATCATTTATTTATAAAAGAAATATGCACCGTATCGCCTTATCAATAATGAAAGAAACATTAATAGCTTAAAGACGTCATTCAGTTGCTATGTATGATGTGATAAATTTGATAGATTACTTTAAATTTCATTGCTCCCTACCTTATCAGCAAAACCTCAGAGGTTTGTGTTAAAAAATAAGTTAGTAAATTATTGAATACTGAAAAAAAAAGCAATACTGATTACAAGACAATAATCTGAGGTTCAGTCAAATGTTTAAGGTTGCATTAAATGCCTTTTGCAACTTTTTACGTGGTAGAGCTATACTGCAGCTATGGGATCAGTAAAGCTCTAATAGTCAGACTTGTTGCCATAATAAGAGCCTGTTTGGCTCTAAATTATGTTCCTAGGGGATGGAGGGAAGTGATTGTCACAATCATACCCAAACCAGGTAAGATTGACTATACAGACCCTAAATCCTACAGACCCATTAGTCTCACGTCCTTCCTCCTAAAGACGATGGAGAGGATGTGTGAAAGGGAATTAAGGGGGTCGGCGCTAATGAACTTACGGCTACACGACAAACAACACGCCTACAGCTTAGGTAAATCGACAGAATCGGCACTTCATCTGGTATTAACAAATATTGAAGAGGCCATCCAAAACAAAATAATATGTCTAGGTTCCTTCATAAATATAGAAGGTGCTTTTGACAGAACGAAATTCTCCAGCATAAAAAGTGCACTCAGTAGACATAAAGTTGAACCGGCACTGATTAACTGGATAGTAAACATGTTCAGTACACGAACAATAGCGATTGATGGTGAATCTCAAACAATTCAGATTAAGAAAGGCTGCCCACACTTTCACCTCTCCTGTGGAATCTGGTGATAAATGAACTCACCAGCAAATTAAATGCCTAAAATCATTTCTACACAGTAGGTTACATTGATGACCTGACAATACTGGTCTCTGGAAAGACAGCAAGCATGGTGTGCGTACCTGACCCAAGTGGCTCTCCATATAGTGGAGAGATGGAGCAGGTTACGATTTAACCGTAAATCCAAATAAAATGGTTGTAGTAATGTTCACACAAAAACAAATGCTGAATAACTATCATCTCCAAAGTGTTTTCAGCACAAAACTCCAGCTATCCTCCGAGGTAAAATATCTAGGTCTTACCTTGGACAGTAAACTCAACTGGAATAAACACATAGAAAACAAAATCAATAAAGTTAGTATAACTTTCTGGCAATGCAAAAACATGATTGGCAAAAGATGGGGTCTGACATCAAAAATCATACTGTGGCTATACAAAACTGTAATTCGGCCCATGATTACATACGGCACTCTGGTATGGTGGACCAAAACAAATGAAGCCACCACCATAAAGAAGCTGTAGTGTACCAAAGACCTGCATGTATGGCTGCCACAGGCTGCATGAGAACTACGCCAACAGCAGCCTTAGAGGTGATGCTGGGGCTAAGCCCGCTTTATCTACATATACAACAAGAAGCTGCCATTAGACTCTAGATCCTAAATCTTTGGAGGAAGAATAGAGTCTTTCATACAGGTATAATTGATAGAATTCACTCAAAAATTCCTATCTTACAAGCCCAGTACGATAAGATCCATAAACAATTTGTTTTCAATAAGAAGTATAAGATACAATTAAATGAAAGCAGCCAGCCGGAGGGATTCAGCCCAAAAGAGCTTAGTCTTCACCGATGGTTCTAAAACAAATGAAGGTGTAAGATCTGGAACTATTTCTGAAGACCTCAATATTCACATATGCACACCGCTGGGTACCTACAACACAGTCTTTCAGGCGGAATGTATGGGTATCATTCAAGCAGCCATAGCAATAGATGCTAGAAAAGTAAATGACTTCTCCATCAGAATACCGACCGACAGTAGGGCGGTACTATAAGCCCTGAGCTGTTTGGTAGCATACCATAATCGTTGGTGGCATTCATATATGAATGCCACCAATGATTAAATGAGGTATGTAATCATAAGAATGTGACTCTGCAATGGATAAAGGGCCACAGTAGATCCAGAGGCAACAATGCAGCGGACGAACTGGCCAGAAGAGGATCGGCACAGGCCATTATAGGGCTGGAACCAATTATACCAATCCCCTTTGGTAATATTTGTTCACTAGTACATAGACACTACACTAAACAACACACTCAACTTTGGTAAAATCTATTAGACTGTAGACAAGCTAGAGAGGCCCTGCCTGACATAAACAGTTGTTTAACCAAGGTTCTAATGAGACTGAACAAACTGCAGATCAAGATAGTAACAAGTGCTATCACAGGACACGGTAACTTTAACAAACATTTATTTACCATAGGTGTTACGGACAGTCCCCTGTGCAGGGCATGTATGAGGGAGGAAGAAACGGAGGTCCACGTGTTATGTTTATGATTGTTGTATATATATGATATCATATGTTATGTTACGTTATATAGTTGCAAGCTTTTCTCCCGCTTTGCAGAATTATATGAGTGACAGGTGCTTAGGTAACTCACACGGGTTGTGTAATTTTTATCAATTTTTTTAATACGATTTATATGATATATTTTTTTATATTTTTAAATATGATGTAAAATCCCCACTCTAGAAATTTTCCCTGAATTATTGAGACAATACATACATTCAACAAACATCCAGACCCAGAACAGTTATTTGAACACCATACAAATAGTTGTTTCATAAGGAATTTAAACCCACAACTCAGTGTCGAAACTCATTGTAAAGCCTCTGCACCACTAAGCAGTCATACATAGTTTATAAACAAAGTTTAAAGACTAGTTTTAAGACTAAAAAAACAGGCTTTAATGGTAAACTGAATGGTAACTTTTTTTTGAATTATGAATAGTATAATTAAAGAATATAAATATTATTGTAATAAAGCATTCAAGATTATGGGATGTGCTTATCATATTATTGTATTGTTATCAGTCCGTGATAAGTATGCACAGTTTCAATTTAATCTAACCTTTGAAAGTGGGTAAAAATCAAATTTACAAACAAACTTAGACAAAGTCAATTGACCTAGTCCTGCAGTTAATAATGTATGATACTAGAATTATAAATAATTACAATTATTTTGTTAGGACAAAACAAAAGATATTTGATAATTGAAGTAAAGACATTAAACATAAATTCACATTTATGTAGACAACTATTTCTTGATACTAAAAGCAGGCCCAGGAAACAAAGAGAAAAAAGATACGATCACAAATGGGTTTGAATTTTGATACCATGATAGATTTCAGCCCTTCCAACAAAGGAAACCCTTCTATAGCTATTCATCAACACATTTAACAAACCTGTCTATCTCCAGCCTCTCCGCGAAGCTGCCAAACTAACTCTGCACACTGTGCCAGTCCAGTAGCACCAAGAGGATGACCCTTTGCGATCAATCCACCACTTGGGTTTACCACAACTCTGCCACCATAAGTGTTATCTCCAGCATCAATAAATTTGCCCGCTTCACCCTCTCCACACAATTGCAAGCCTTCATAAGTAATAAGTTCATTGGCAGCAAAGCAGTCATGCAGTTCAACTACATCTATTTGCTTCGGTGATATACCAGTCTTTTCATACAGTCTTTTTGCTGCTAAGGCAGTCATATCGTACCCAGCCACTTTCATCAAACTGTTTTCTGTGAAAACAGCAGCAGTGTCAGTTGCCATTTCCATGCCTATGATCTCAACGGCTTTATGCTGAAGACCATATCTGATTACAGCATCCTCAGACATGAGGACTGCTGCTCCAGCCCCATCGCTTGTAGGACAACATTCTAATTTTGTAAGAGGACCATAGATTTTTCTAGATTTTAGCACTTCTTCCACAGTATAATCTCTCCCATTCTGAGCTCGTGGATTTTTTGCCCCATGACGGTGATTCTTTGCTGCTATTTTAGCAAGGTGTAATTCTGTTGTGCCATATTTCTTCATGTGCTCAATAGCTGCATTGCCAAAATACTGAGCAGTCATAGGCGCAGGAGCTAGATCAACCATATCCGCCATTTTTAAAGTATGTCTATCCAATGGATTTGTTCTGTCTGTAAAACCACTACCCCCCAGAGCACCAGGAGCCATTTTTTCAAAACCCACAGCTAATACAATGTCAGATATACCTCCTTCTATGAACTGTTTGGCAATAAACAGAGCATTGGAACCCGTTGAACAATTGTTATTGACATTGTAAATAGGGATGCCAGTCATACCAACTTGGTAAAGCACACGTTGGCCACTGGTAGAATCACCCATTACATAGCCACACACCGCCTGCTGAACCACTTCGTATGGAATACGTGCATCAGCTAGCGCAGCTTCTATTGCCTCTTTACCCATCTCTGGATAATCGATACCTGAATTTGGTTTGACGAATTTTGTCATACCAACACCAACGACGTATACTTTCCTACCCATTTTGTGATATTTCAAATAATTACCTCTTGATCTCCAACGGCAACCACGAAGTGAAGGCACTGATAATAATTTTAATTGGACTTTGATCTATAAAATATCTTTTTATCTTTATAAACAGATAGTACTATCTCTCTTAAATTGGTGCACTTTGAAGTTAACACTAACAATAATTGTTGCTAACAAACTAATAAGGAGTACTAATTGTTGCTTTTGTTGCTTTATTACTATAATGTAAGAATATTTACTGTTCACGTCCTTATTGTATAAACGCAAAATCAAAATGACAGTAATGACAAGGGAGAATTACAAGCTGAACTAGTGATGGGACTCGAGTCGTGTTTCACTCAAGTCAATCGAGTAGCTTTTATTTTCGCACTCGTGTATTACTTATAAATAATACGTTTATTTCGGTATTCTTTTTAAAAACATAATACTGAGACTTTTCAGTGACTAATCGGAGGATACTCGTGTTAGAAATGACCCGCTACTTCCCTTAAGGATTACAAAAAAAGTAAGATGACAAAAAGTTTAACCTCCAGAAAATTTGTAATTAGCATGTGTATATTAAGGAATGTGTGAATGTGAATGTAGGAGTGTTGTTGTATGTATGATGTAGGGGTGTGTGTGTATGTGCTGGTGGATGAAGAAATTATAAGTAAGAAGACTACTGCCTTGCAAAATAAAATTTTAAAATTTTACTGATCAAATATGAAAGACGGAATACTGTTAGACTGGTATAAATGTATAAGATGTTGGTGAGATAGATTTCAGACAATTCTATTTAAAAGATATTAACCTCGTCATAAGTCAGTGTATACAACCAATGCATTGAAGTTTTTTTGCATAATATATTTAATTGCATAGGGTATATTTTAAGCATTTTGTTTAATTTATTATATATAAAAGCAGACTGACATGGGTACTCTCTAATACCAAATACAGTACGTACAAGAGGTATAGGCGCCAATATCATATTTTCTTTTTTTTTTGAAGGGATTCATTAAGCGGTAGGGATTTATGACATTTTAGAAAGAGATTAAGAACATAAAGCTTTCTGACTGAGAGAATGGTACGACTTTTCATTGACGTCCGTCGAGTTGGGTGTTGATACGTATTTTTACAGAAAGGTTACATTTTTATAAGCACACACACAAAGTTTCAATATGCGGAAACACGTACTTTTTGAGAAATAAATTATTGAAAATCACTTATTTTACAATATTTTGTTGTTTTTTTTAATTGGCTTTATGGCCCTTCTGAGCCTATTATATTACGAATTTTCATTGACATTCGTTGAATAGAGGGGGGGAGGACTAATTCAGAGGGATTTCTATTTCTATTTTGAGACTGCAACGTCTCCGGCGCTGCGGGAAGAACAGCCTCTACGCCTTTGCGTAACAAATCACAGGCACGCGGATGCTGCTCCCACTACGCGCCTCTGGCTCTATATAACCACTCTAGGGGTAGGACAGACTCGTTCCAGGTGGAGTCGGGGTCAATCAATTTGGTTCTTTGACATAAGTAGAACCTAATCTATTTTATTTATTATCTGCCCTAATATTAAAATAAAACAAATCAAATATAATTAATAATTTATTAATCAATTTTATAAACATATTGTATAGCCTTAATTAATTCGAAGACATCTTTATGTTCTGTTTTTATTTTTTTTCTTCGATCTGAGATCGATTTTTCAGACCCAAAATATCGTTCTTTTTTAATCGGTATGCAGTACAGAATCGATCCAATAAATCGATATTTCACCCTTGAAAATCGCCATTAAAACAGATTTTATTGATAAGAGATCATTTATTGTATTGTACCCCTGACGGGGTAGCCAGAGAGAAGAGATCGCCAAGTGTCACGATCCTTACATACCTCTTTCGCTTCTTTTAGATTCATTATCTTCTTCATACATGCACGTCTAGGTATCCGAGTACTCTTGACCCTACCCTCTTCGAGCAATTTGCTCACATGGTCTTCGAAAGTTAGTCTCGGTCTACCTCGACACCTTTTAATATTAGCTTTCGCGCTATATATTTTCTTCACCATTCGGTCTTCACTCATTCGCTCAACGTGCCCAAACCACCGAAGCACGCCCTTATCAATTTTTGTGATAAGGTCATCTTTCAAACCTGCCATATTGCGAATCTCTTCGTTTCGCTTTCGGTCGGCCATGGTAACGCCGCACATTTTACGAAGAGATCGCATCTCCACTGCATTCAACTTGCTTTTATGCTTCTTCTGGCATACCCAGGTTTCGCTGCCATATAATAAAGTCGGTACCAACACTGCGTTATGTATTGCAAGGCGTGCACTCTTCACTACGCCTTGCCTTTTGACTAACGCAGTCAGGGCACCATTGACTTTGTTCCCGGCAGCGACACGCCTGTCCACATCTAAATCACATCTTCCATCCCGGCTAAAAGCACTCCCCAAGTATACAATTTCATTTACTTGTTCTAGACATTCCTGATTTACCCATATTTCACACTTCGTTCTCTCTTCGTCCCTTTCAAATACCATTTATTATGGTATCTTATAAATGCAAATAGGCAAATATATCTATGTTTTAGAAATCGATTTTTTATGAATCGATACAGCTTACGATTCGATTCGATTTAAAAATCTATCTTTTTCGGAAAGAATCGACATCCCTACTGACGACGATAATGACATTACAAAATGGCGCCAGTTTTACGGTAGGTATTTAACATAAACATTGCAAGAATAATTAATTTTCAAATAATTTTTTTCTCAAAAAGTACGCGTTTTCGCATGTTTAAACTGTGTGTGTGTGCTTATAATAGTGTAATCTTTCTGTAAAAATACGTATCAAGACCAAACTCGACGGACGTCAATGGAAAGCTATGCTCAGAGAATATTACTAATCTGATATAGAGTGTAGAGAATCTATAAGGTTTGATTTCTTATAATATAAAGAATAAACATCATATTCAGTGTAAGGATATTAGGGGTAAGTCAAGTTCATCTCATGCGTGTTCTTAAAATACTGAAGGTGAGAGTTCTACTTCCAGGTCTGCCGTTTCCAATTCTACATCAATGAAACGGCGTTTTCAGCAACTAAAGCTGGCAAGACTTAATGCATCGCTTACTAAACAGAAACAAAAAAATAGCTCTAATCAAAATGATTTGTCAAGACATATAACCTTTACAAATCGATGAAAGCAATGGTGTTATTAGTTTTTGAATTCGAGTTTCATCTTCATTCGAGTGGCACTCGAGTGACTATGCTGTCATTGGCGAGTGACTCGAGTGAAAGAAATTTACTCGAGCCCCATCACTAAGCTGAACAAGAAGTGACAATAAATAAAGAAATGACATTGACAATTGCCAACCAATCAACCAAATGTTTTTAATTAAAGCTTTTTTTTGGCTTGGATGCTTATCTTTTAAGCCATATCTTCATTAAATGATAAAATTTATCTCATTATCAAGTGATAATAATCCTTTATAATAGTTTTAAATTTTTACTTAATTGTTTGCGGTTTGTCCGTTATTCTTCAAGCATAAAAATGGTTTTTCGCCTTTTCATTATTTATGATTAATTAAACAAATTCCATCCTCAGGTTGGCCCCCCTTATTGTAAATTTTAACTTTTATCCTTAAAATTATTAATTTTTTACTAAATATCTATTTTTATTAAATCTGAGTAAATACATACATTTTGTAAATATTTTGTAATTTTGCTATCCGTATTTCATTCATAAACTGGCAGACTGGCACTGGCTGTTTTTAATATGACATTAAGAAATATAACACTTTTGATAATTATTTAAAACAAAACACTATATATTTGGCATACGATCTATGAACTTACAAGATTTTATAGCAAAATTTTAAAATGGTATTTAAAATTAAAGTGAAATTGTAATAAGTTTACCTTACTGATTCTTATGGTCTTAAGCAAAAATGGCACTAGACAAACAAAAAATTTTGAGTGAATTGGGCAGTGTTATGAATCAACTTAAAAGTGCTGATTGGTGAGTTTATTTTTTGTGGGGTTTTTTCCTCGTTCAGACTTCTTCAAGTGATCGGTTACTTAAATGTTCCTTCTCCTCATGATTTTTGCTTGCACAACGGTTTGTTATTCATATATAAGGTTAAACATAATTAACGTGGTAGATCTTCGCTGCAGCTATATTATTTTTACTGGAAACGAGGCATTTCATAATAGTTACGGGTGACAATGCACTTTGGTTCGTAATCAAGGATAGATGTAGATGTCTATGAGCAACAGCAACCACTTACCATCAGATGGACTGTGTGCTCATTTGTCACCCTTATCCTACATTAAAAAAAAAAACTTAAATTACTTTTTGTAATAAAACGGTTTGTGTACGTTGTGTCTGGTGTCTCGTACAGCTTATCTTGAAATTTTTACATAATAATTTGAAATTTAACACAGAGGTAAAGTCCAAAATAGTGTGATGACCAAATTAACTTAAATTTAATTGTACTTTAAGGTGAATAATATTAACATGTAGGTTATGTAAGATAGTTGTAGTACATAGTATATTTAAGTAGATTAGCGAGGCTATTGTAGTGGGTTTTTTAGCCTGTTGGGGTAGTTATTAAGTGTATTTGTGTAAATGAATAAATAAAATTATTAAATTGTTTTCGTACTAACTTATTTACAGTGTACTGGCAGTGAAGGAATATCCACCACCGCATATTGTCTCGTGGATATCGTAAGGAGCGACATAGGGAAACTTAAACTGAAGATGGGCAGTAGTATCTTACTGATTCCTGGTAATGGAAAGCTGCGATTGTTAACCCGCCCGACAAGTGTGGCAACTATGGCAAAATTACTTTGAGGCGATCTATGAAGGAGGCCTATGTTCAGTAGTAAGCTTTCATAGGCTTTAGGTTAGGTCAGGCTACTGAACTATTAGAATCAGTTTGTAGAGACATAGTAATACCATATATATTTTAAAAACTAATAGTGAGTCAACTCGGTGACTAGACGGAGCAACGATGGGGCGTATGAAGGAGAGCGGAGTCCCCCCCCCCCCCACCGCCCGCCACGTCTGCGGTAGTACCGGTCGGCTTCGCTTGCGTACCGGTACGCCCGTTTAGTATTGTCACGTACACGGAATCAGTTCATACGTTTGGTGTTCGCCCAGCAACACGATATTACTCGGTATTATTTTTATTATTTAATTAAGTTATTTGAAAATATTGGGAAAAGACTGTATAACGCAGTACTGCAGACTATATGAGGAATGCAGTTAAAATATAATGTTCTGATATTATTATCTCTGTAAATGTTTTTATAACAACCCTTGCGTATTTTTAGCGATGACAGCTTTGTAGGTATTTTGCGGTATAACAAAGGAGTTGCCTTACTATTAGTATTTATTACACATATGGTAATACAACGAAAATGCATTATAACTTTTGTCCTTACACGTATTTTAATTTTTGCCTGCTACGATACGTTATTTGTCTTTGGATATTGGTATTTACTTTTGCATTTCTATTAATAGTTTAAGCAGAGGACTACAACGAAACAGTAGTTATTGTGCAAGTATAGTTAACCTATACTTGCACAATAACGACTGTTTCGTTTGACTTCTGATTTTAATATTGTTAACTACAAATAAGTAACATTTTCAGCGGATGTATAGGGAAATTATTCGGTAATACAAATCCTCACCCGTCAAGTCCTATGCAAGTGCCTAGCGGTTGTAAGCATGGATGTTGCCATAGCCACGGTCATAATAATTGTACACCGTATACACCGTGTATGGGAGCGCCTTGTCCGTCCACTAATTCACGGCATATGAATCAATCATGTATGGGTCACTGTAACCCAGCAAAAATGTACGGCGATACATACCATTACTTAAGCGAAAACCTTATGCAGCCTGTTGTAAATGAAGTCTATAATGATTTAAAAACGATCACTCCAGCTAACACGATAATGAATAACGAGGGTGTTAATGCGACGACTGCATCTCAAGGACAAACCAATATGCAGCCTCAAGGACAAACCAATATGCAGCTCATGCAAAATAAAGACAGCGCAAAACTTGAAAATACTCCTAACACTAACCAAAGTCCAAGAATGGAAGGTCAGGTGAATGGAATGGGACCTCACCTAGTAAATATGATGATGAGTGGAAACAAAATGAAAGCAAACGACATACAAGGGGATACAGGTTCTTTAACGCAGCCCGTGGTTATTGATGCACCTCAATCGCCTCATGGGAAAGTGGGAATTATGCCTTTACCTGTCCAAACGAACATGCACCAAGGTGGTGATAGACAAATACACACGTTTAATCAACACCGTGAGAATAATCAAGGAAATTTAGGTAACCAAGTACAAGGTGCAAATCAAAATAAATTATTATCAATCCCAAATGTAAATGCTAATTATGGGGTTCAAAACATGACACCAAATCCGAAACATTTTGGACAACACACCCAAGGTATCGCTAAATTTAATGAGATGTTCCCTGGTGTAACGCAAAATTTAGGCGGGGACTTAGGTTTTGATCCTATGGCGATAGCCGTACAAATGAACCCTGCTAATCAAAAACGCGCTGCCATGCATACAATGCATAGGATAATGAATAATAATAATTCGGAGGTAAATAATAATTTTAACCCAACACAAACAGAACAACAACCTGTTGTGGGGACGGGGTCAGAAGCAACGCATATGTTAGCTACTAACTTAGAGCATTCAAATATAAATCCAAATCAAGTACAACAAAGTAACTTTGCCATGCCTTTAAATGATCAAATGTCTACAAATGAGCAGATCATGCAAAACAAGGACCAGTTAAATTATTCGTATAATGAAGGAATAAAATCGTATCCACAAGCTTATGCAACGCTGACATCAGCTTCAGGAGGTTATCAACAGCCAGGACAACAGCAACAACAATTTCAAGGGCTTCCTCAACAATATATGCAACAACAACAAATACGAACAAATATGGCAGATCCGAATGCTAATAACCTAATATCAAATAATAAAGAAATGGTAAATACGCCAATGATTCAGATGCAGCAATCAACGTTAAATTCACCACCTATACCAGAGTTCGTTCCAATGCCTAACACACCACAGCAAATAGTGAAAGAACCGACGTTCCCAGCTTCTACTACTCAAAATCAACTTATATCGCATCTAAAGCAGCCAGTAAGCTATACATACAATACTCTAGGCCAACCAATTGAAATGCTCCCAGCAGAGATTTATCACAGTAAAGATCCAGGCGGTCCTCAAACGTTATCCCCTCAAGACATTCCCTCAAAACCCAAGGATCCTAAAATATTTAGCAACGTTAAATCAACTGTGAGCAAGACTTCAATAATAGGAAATCGCCCGATCGGAAAAATTTCAAGCAGAAGTCAATTACAAAATATCTATAACCAGTATAAAGGCTCTCAGTCTCTTACACATCACAATATCTCAGGTTATAACGAACGAGCTTCTTATTCAGAAGATCAGTTTAAAATTCCTCACCAAAGAACAGAAGGAGTTGCGCCTAATCATCAAATAGTTGAAAAAATTGGAGGTGATTCATTACTGGATACTGAAAGTAATCAAAATTCACAAAGAAAAACAGAACAAGTACCAGGTCACATTGGCGATGTTCCTCACAGTAATGAAATCCAGAGTAATGGAATGACAGAACCAGTAAGTAACTAATACTTTTCTATACTATTAAAGGATTTATTTCTGTATTTTAAGTTTTACTGATTTGTTTCTTTGTTTGTTATTTTTTTTGTTAATTTTTGTATGTTTAGATACGCGTTATAGCTGTATCATTAATCAGATTGTATTATCTTCGAAAAATGTCTATGAAAAATTATTGATTTAATATTACGGTATCTAACGTCAAGTCCAAATCCTCGCAAACAAATGGCGATTAGGTTTGTATAATACCTGAATGTAGGAAGTGTAGGACGGCCCCCAATATATGGAGTGACTCTAATCAATGAATCAATACAGGAAGTCGATGGATACAGTTGCAGAGGTGCCTCAGGACGGCGGTATTACTCTTAACTGTAATGATGATCAATATTCGTTTGCACCTAGTATTTATGTGTAACAAGATTCTTGACCATAGCGACAGTCTTCGAATGATTTTGGAAGCTTCTAATTATGTAGATAGAAGATATGGTAGTGACACGCTGACCCATGGACAGTCGTTCTTACCTTCCCATGCATGCATGCCACACCAAAAATTAGTGTTTTTTCCATAAATTTTGGCTTCAGCTGATATATGAACCCGGTATCCGCATTGTAGTCGGGTATTGGGAATACTAATTAATGCAATCGTCAATATTGTTAATTACTATTACTAACCTTTATTACAGACGTTAACAAGAAAACCTAAAGCTAGGAATGGCTTGCAAGATATGGTTTATACATCGTATCCTTCTTCAGCCGCTTGGTCTTTTCACGGTCATACTCGGCCACCTCTTTCAGTTGGAGCTCGTGTTAAAACAAGATTTTAAAAATTATTTTAATATGTGAATGATTTTGTTTATGTAACGCTAATGTTATCGTTTTCTAATTTTTGTGATGTTCAATAGTGGTTGTTAAAATAAAATAATCTATTAAGTACGTTGTACTTTTATTAGATACTTTCATCAATACATACATATCTAGTGTTTGACTACGATCCCTCCCAGTGATAAGCGATGATGAAGTCCTAGATGGTAAATTGCACATTCTTAGCATACCAAAAGCCTGTTCACTGTTGCTAAAAGCCAAAAGCTTTGAAGATGCACAGATTGTAACAGAAATGCAGATATTTTTCAACTTACTTGCTGTACGTATTACGAAAGACTGTTCCTCGTCTTTCGTTTCCGGCCGTTTAGTTGATTGCGTGGAATATCAACAACAAAGCCATGCACGCCAACAATCTGGTTGTACTGGAAAGGGGAGGAACGAATTAAATCAAAATCTTGCGCACACTTTCCAGTATGCATCTTTACACATCGAAAGACTAGCTACTCTGTGCGTGTGCTCGAGGCTATAAAGATTGTTATCAACTTCTAACCAAACAAGTCCAATGCTACTGGGCAGCATTTTGCAGCACCAGCCCATATGTGACAGCAGTACTTTTGACATGCGCTTGCGCCTAATACAGGGCATTTAACAATAAGCAGCTGATTGATAGAATTACGTATTACTTTGCGGAAATCCATTACATTAAAGTTGCAAAAGTTCGCTTTGCCAAAATCCGCTCAATAAAATAAAGTGATGTCTTACCTAGTTTGAAGAGCACCTCCCGCCCTCCCTCAATTGTGTGCAGTGCTGGGATTAGTAGTGACAGGTATAGTGCTTGTCGTGGAGATTTATTTTTTATTTCTTGTATGATAATTCACCGATCACAAAATAAACATCAGCTGTCAAATAAAAAAAGAATTATGAAAAGCGTTTTACCCAGAAAAATGTTCTGTGGTAACACACATAGAACCCCCGCAACTTAGAAGCAGCAGGTTTGGCCGCACATGGAACACTGTTCCCATCTCTGGGCTGGGGCTCTCCAGTGCCAGCTCCTTCCATTTGATCGCATCCAGCGCAGAGCTGTTCGAATTGTCGGCGACCGAACTCTTTCCGATCGGCTTGACTCGCTGGCACTGCGAAGAGATATTGCATCTCATTGCGTATTTTATCGCATTTACCACGGGCAGTGCTCTGAGGAATTGTTCGGACTAATTCCAGCCCCACAATTTCACAATCGCACATCGCGACAAAATTCGCGATACCATCCATACCATCTGGATAAGTGGCGGTTCATCATTGTGAGATTTAAAAGAAGTTTTCTTTCATGCATAACTTCCTTTTGGAATCAACTACCAACAGAGATTTTTCCGGACCGATACGACTTAGGGACCTTCAAGAAAAGAGCGTACTCCTTTTTAAAGGGCCGACAACTCATCAGCAATTCCCCTGTTGTTGCGTTTGTTCATGGGCGGTGGTAATCACTTACCATCAGGTGAACCGTATGCTCGTTTGCCCCTTCTCATATAAAAAAATACAGTTGAAAAGAGAACCTCCTCCTTGTTTTGAAGTCGGTTAAAAATAGGTATAACATGGTAAAGCCATGCTACAGATAGATACATTATGGTTATAGCACGAATGGGTCAGCTCGGCCGAGGAAGGATCTTATTAATTTAATAATACACTCAATTTTCATGGCAAAATAAGGATTTATCAGCTTATAAGTTATAAGGAATATTATGAATATGAATATATAATGGCAATCTATGAAAAAGTTCTATGTAATTAATGACTGACTGATAGATAATATATTGAGAGAGCAGAGAGGAAATCGGGAAATACGGTCGAAATCGATTTATTTATAGTTGTGGTATAGCGACGAACGAGGAGGCAGACCGCGGTGTTGTGCCGTGATATTTATATTATCGTAGCAGTGCCCTTTGTGTACATTCCGTGAAGCAAGCCCGGTGTCAAATCAGGCAAGCATAAATAAATTAAATATTTCATAGCGGTATACTTCGCTACATGTTTAACAGTTATTATTCCCTGTGAAAACCATAGTAAGGCGAGGAATAACTTGGCAGAAATATACCGGCTGAATTTAAGTAGATTACTTGAGATTTTCACAGATATATTTTAATTTACGTGGTAAATTCATGCTTCAGCCGTATTATATTTGTAGCACGAATGGGTTGGTTCGACCGGCGAAGGACAACACTTTTACAGAATATTAGCGTAAAATAGCAGCTTGACGCTGCTGTATTCTATTAGGTCTTTATCGTTGAAATTGCCGTATTTTATGAAATAAGTTAACGAATTTTTTTATTATTATTTCTATTATTCGAAAGTAATCACTCATACAATCGTTGCATCTTTGCCAGTTTATTGATGCAAATTCTTGAAGAAATCAGCTGGGCGGGAGGCAACAAATTCTTCAAAGGCATTTTGATTAAGCCCTGAACTGCCTCTCAGGTATTGAATTTTTTCCCGCCAAAATTTACCAAATTCTGGAAAAAGTATAAGTCTGTAGGCGCAAGGTCTGGTGAGTACGGCGGGTGACGGAGAGCTTCTAACTCCAACTCTTGTAACTTAAAAACCGTCTGTTGTGCAGTGTGAGGTCACCCGTTGTCGTGCAGGAGCAGCGGGGACGAGCGATTAACCAAAGCTAGTTGGTAACGTGAGAGCTTCTCCATGATTGTGTTCAGTTCTTCACAGTACACATCTGCAGTAATGCTCATCCTGTTTGGTAAGAAGCTGTGATGAATCACATCAGCGCACTAGATCACCAAACAGGAATTCTGTTTAATTTGTTCTGCCAACTTTTCACCCAAAGTACAGTTCAAGACATACACTTAATTATTAATTAATTTTTAATAACCACAAACTTAATCAGTACGTGGTAGAGCCATGCTGCAGCTATTTAGAAGTATAGTTGTAGCAGGAATGGGTTGGCTCGACCGGAGACGATCCACGCTCTTACGGAATACCAGCGTAAAATAGCAGCTTAACGCTGCTGTGTTTCGTATGGTTAGTGTAGAGAACCGGAGACCCTTTTTAATGGAAACGAGGCATACCATCTTAGTCCTCACGGGTGGGTGACAACGCATCTGCATTTTGATTCGTAATCGAGGATAGATTTAGATGTCTATGGGCCACAGCAACCACTTACCATCAGGTGGACAGTGTGCTCGTTAGTCACCCTTATTCTATTAAAAAAAGCGAACCTACAGTTCACCTGATGGTAAGTGGCTATTCTAGTTCATAGACACCTGCACGTACACCTAGAAAAAAGTCCTGAGACACACACCTACAAAAAATACAGTCGAATCGAGAACCTCCTCCTTTTTTTGAAGTCGATTGGAAAGTGACTATCATTTTGGTGTCATGAAAGTAAGCGAATAGACCTGCTGTATCCAGCTGTGGTGTGTTAATAACTTTATTTTTAGTCAAAACTGAAAGGAAACAAAATAATTTAGTTCATTGTATAAAACGTATAAATTTATACGTAGTAGAGCCATGCTGCAGCTATATTAGTAGTATAGTTGTAGCAAGAATGGGTCGGCTGACCGGGGAAGGACCACGCTCTCACAGAATACCAGCGTAAAATAGCAGCTTAACATTGCTGTGTTTCGTATGATGAGTGTAGAGAACCGGAGACCCTTTTTACTGGAAAAGAGGCATTCCGTCTTAGTCCTCACGGGTGACAACGCATGTGCATTTTGATTCGTAATCGAGGATAGATTTAGATGTCTATGGGCCACAGCAACCACTTACCATCAGGTGGACTGTGTGCTCGGTTGTCACCTTTAACCTATATAAAAACGTATTGCATTTAAATCAAATGAAACTTCCTCGTTTTAAATAATAATATTGCGTAATATATTCAATCTGCAATATGTCCAGGCAATTACCAATCCTAATTTCATTGAGTACACATTTAATGTTTTGTAACATTTGTAACCGTTTTCTAAATTTATTTCCTACAACAGATGTGTTAGCGAAGAACTGGGCGTTTTGTGCAAGCATTCCAAAAACGTTACTATCGAATTTTTGTATTTACCTTAATTTTAAATTATTTTATGCCATGACTTTTTTTTATTGAAGAGTGGGCAAACGAGCATGCGGTTCACCTGATGGTAAGTGACTACCGCCGCCCATGAACAACGGCAACACCAGGGGAATTGTATATGCGTTGCTGGCCTTTTAGAAAGGTGTAAGCTCTTTCCTTGAAGGTCCCTAAGTCGTATCGGTCCGGAAAAATCGCCGGTGGTAAAGAATCCCAGAGAAAAGTTGTACGAGGAAGAAAACTCCTAGTAAAACGCACAGTCGTGGACCACCAAGCATCCAGATGGTGAGGATGGTATCGTGAATTTTGACGCGATGTGCGTTCGTGAAATTTGGCGGCTGGAATTAATTCGAACAATTCGTCAGAGCACTCCCCGTGGTAAATTCGATAGAAAATGCAAAGGGATGCAACATCTCTACGCAGTGCCAGTTTATCAAGCCAATCAGAAAGAACTCGGTCGTCGACGATTCGAACCGCTCTGCGCTGGATGCGGTCAAGTGGAAGGAGCTGGCTCTTGGGTGCCCCGGCCCAGAGATGAGAACAGTATTCCACATGAGGCCAAACTTGCGCTTTGTAAAGTTGCAAGCGATGTGCTGGCATGAAATACTGTCTCGCTCTGCTGAGCACGCCAAGCTTTTTAGAGGCCAGTTTGGCCTTCCCTTCCAAGTGACCACGAAACGCCACACTATTCGATATGTCGACAATCGATTGCCAAGGATTCCGATGCTAGCTGAGGCAGCAAGGGGAGTACCTTAAAACTGAGGAGATACGACAAAGGGATTCTTTTAGAGGTAAACGCGCAAACTTGTGTCTTCTGGCGATTGAACTTGATTGGACTAGATTTAGTCGCCCCCAATCCGAGATTTTGTTCAGCAAAGACTCGACTTCAGATACAAGTTTGTCCCGGTACTCGGCGCCGTTTTCCCGAGAAATATTGGC